CGGCCGGGCGGATGCGCCCCGCCGCGGCGACAGGCCGTCCTCAGCGCCGCTGCTGTCGTCGCTGAACACGGCGCGGCTGGAGGGCCGCGCGGCGCGCAGCCGCAGCCGCATCGTGTCGTTGAACATGTCGCCGGGCTGCTGGGCGCGCGCGGCGGTCCCGGGGCCAGCAGGGCGCCGAGGCGGGGCCGCCATGCGCTCGCTGTGGCTGCGCCGGAGGGTTGACGTCCTCGGCCGCCCGGAGCCGCCCGAGCCCGCCGTGGACACGGAGCTGGAGGAGTCGCCTGCAGACAGAGAGACCAGTGTCACGACCCGAGACAAGCAGGCAAGGCGGGAGCAAACAGCGAGCCTCATCACCCGAGCTATGAACAACAGTTTTAAGACCACGGCACTCTTTTAGTACCGCGCGCTGGGAAAAGGGGCAAAATTTAACTAGAGCCGTCCTATTTGCAGACAAGCGGACGGACGGACGGACGGACAGACGACGGGAGGGATGGGTGGAATTCCCATTTCCTGGAACTGCGCCCCAATCCCCACTACTCCCGCGGAGCCGCGCCCAACAAAAAATAATAAAAAGAGCGCCGAGAAGATTGAACTGGCAGCAGGCGTTTGGCGCTCCGAATGCTCGCTCGCTCGCTCCTCGGCAGACAGAGGCGTCCGCCGTTGACGCGCCGACAGTTTGCTTTTGACTTTGCATCGGCGTTTGTTGTTTGTCCGACCGGTCGTTCACCAAGCAATCTACCTCGCCAATGCATTGTCAGGGCCAAGATTGCTCTTCGTCCGTCCGCCCGTCCGTCCGTCTGTCTGACGTTGTTCCCGGCTAGCCCAACAGGTGGCAGGCGGCTGCTGCAATGTGGCGAGGTACTCTTTTTTTAGGGTCTAGGGTCGCGTGTAAAGCGTATAGCCAGCCGGGCAAAAGTGATTACACTGCCATTCCGAATGCAAATGCCTGAATAGACTTGCGAATAAGTGATATACACTTTCAGGCTAGACCAGGGTTGCAGAGCTGGGCATCGTCCGGCATCACATAGCAACGCTTCCCATTGTAAATTGTGCTTAAGCCTTTTTATTAAATTTGTGGAATACAATTATTTA